AAGAGCCGTGGCGAGCTTCCCCAGATGCCTCTGCCAGGTTACAAATGGTGAGCGGGCCACAGTGTGAAGACAGCCAGGGAAAACTGCACACTTGAGGAAAAAGCTAATGCAGCTGCCAAATTGAAAATAAGTATGGTCGACTTTCAATTATCCCAAGTGGTTTAACCACACAGCTTCCTTCTTCCCACTGCCCAACCTCAGTCTGGGCTGCGACCCAGACATTGAGCAGGGTGGGGGTCTGCAAGTCTGAATGGAGTGTCTGTGTCTGAAGGTGTGGTCCCAACTCTACGGAATTGTGAATTTTCTTTCATGAACCAAGCCACAAAGTTCTCTTTTAACAATAGGGACAAATCGCAGTATCTATGAATGGATAGTGTTAATAAAAGCTATGTTACATACCTTCTCTCAAATGTTAAATAAAATTAAGTTCGGTAACATGACAGGCAGATGCTTAGTAGATGAAAGAAGAAAACTGTAAATTTTGTTCATTCATTCCTTCACTCATTCATGTACTCAAAAAGTTGTATTAGAGCCTTACATGTTATGTGTTGGACACAGTCTCAGGCACTCAAGACATAGAGATGAAGACAATTCAGTACCTCCTCATGGCTCACAGTCCACACTGGGGATGAAACACTGAGAATTCAAAAATCATGTTTCCTAAATCTAAAACATCCTTTTCAACCAATATTTCACTGTCCTTGAAGGAAATGTAATTTATCTGGTAGCTCTACAGGACAAGAAGCTTTACTGTTTGTCTCAAAGGCAGACACTTAAAAAAAATTTTCATTGGGGTAAAAGGTGACATTTTAGCAGTAGTGGAGTCTGTGTTTGACGTTCTACCTCACCCGTGCCCTTGAACGCAGAAAGCCAGTTTGCTTGCGTGTCCCTCTTTTGAAAACCAACTTCTATGTTAAAACAATCACCCCTCCTTTAAATCTCTCACAACCAACCCCCATTCTCCTACAACATATCCAACAGCCCAATTTGCTCTTTCAAATTCACACCTGAAGTGTGTATGATTAACAAAGACTAAAATCCCCACTGGGTTTTTTTTTTTTTAAAACAGGCCCCTTTTCCAAAAAATCTCTACTTTATGGAATAAGTGGGAGAAAACATGCTTAGTGGGGGAATATTTCCTGATGTCACTCACTTACTCTAGATATTTATAACCTACATTCTACAAGAAGTTAATTTAGGCTCTCAAAAAATTAGATGTTGGGCACCTAGGTTAACCACCCAACTCTTGATTTTGGCTCAGGTCATGATCTCAGGGTTGGTAGATCGAACCCCATGTTGGGGTCCATGCTGGGTGTGGAGCCTGCTTAGGAGTCTCTCTCCTCTTCCTCTGCTCCTCACTCTACCTCCTGCTTGCACAGTCTCTCTCCCTCTCTTGAAAAAAAAAAAATTGGGTTTCTTCGTTTATACAATGGGAATAATGATAATAAGACTTCAAAGGTTGTTGAGCATATTACATGAGCTCATTCATCATGAAAGCATTTAGCTTGGTATCTGTCTTTTTAAAAAATAAGCTGTTACTATTTATCATCATTTAAATATTATTGCTGTTAAATAGTAATTTGGCAATTTCTTCTTTAAAAAAAAGAAGATTTTATTTTTAAGTAATCTCTACACCCACCATGGGGCTTGAACTCACAAACCCGAGATCAAGAGTCACATGCTCTATCAACTGAGCCAGCTGGATGCCCCTTGGCAATTTATTCTAAACTGTAACTAACCACTGATTCAAAGAGCGAGACAGACATGGAACCAAAATTTTCTCAATATTATTAAAGCTTCTCAATGACTGGGAAACACAATTTTATTACACCACTGTAAGCTTCTCATCAATAAATGGGTACTGTTTGTTTTTTTATGTTAACATATGCAGTTTACTGCAAAACCTTAGATATTCTAAGCGTGGAGGCAGTATTCAGGAGAGGATATCTTCAGGCTCTAGAATGAGAGGAGTGAGAGGGGTTGTGATGGTGAGTGTGTGTGTGTGTGAGAGAGAGAGAGAGAGAGAGAGAGAGAGTTATGGGGTAAGTTGCTTACAAGAAGTCACAAATAACCAAGCACAATAATTCTGGGACCCCAGTTTAGTGAAGGGGGAAAAAAAGAAGTCTATCCCTTAACCAGCCAGACATGCAAAGAACCAAAAAGTCTCTGAACTTATCTGTTTCAGTTCACTCAACCAGGGAAGTGGGAAGAAGGTTATACTAAGACACCAATAAGCCACAAAAGTGTACAAACTTCCTTCCTAATACAGCATACTCCTTGCAATCTATTTCCTTGCTTGAAATTTATTGCTATAAATACAGAGCATGAAAAATGTGAAATGATGCCAGTTCAGCCATCACTTTGGCCCCAATCCTTTGCTAAATTTATGCAATCTCTCTAGCTTGTTTAAATGCCAAAGAGCTAGGCAAACTAGAAGAATATTATGTTCTTCCCTTCGGTAAAGAAGTCCACCTGAGGGACGCATGCAGATGGAGAAAGGGAGCCCAGGGAAAAGGAATAAAAACATTCACGTTGCAGACAAGAGTAAGGGGTTTGAGGTGTCCAATCAGGAAGGATTACAATAAAATCATCTCTTACTACGATCTTTGGAAACCTTGCACGTTTTCCAATGTCGTATCCATTCTTCCAGTCTTTGTACAATAAGGGATATATATATATATATATATATATATATATATATATATCCATATATACACACACATACGTAACAGAATAAGGTATGATTCAGCAGCAGAAAAGCCAGAGATACATGGACCACACTAGAAAGCATCTATAAATAAAGACAGAATTCAATAAAAAAATAGTTTTTCATGATTCAGGACTGTGATAGATGCTGCAAAAATTTGCATATGCTACTAATTCGCAATTTTCTCATGTTTATGTGCCTCTCTTCACATTTAAAGTTAATGATAATAACTTAAGCCCTAATGAGAAATGTTCAGGAGGAAAAATTACATGCAAAACTTAGGCTTGTGCAAACTAATCTTTTTTCTGAATACAGGAACACCACAATATAGCACGACTGGGTTGTTTTCTTGTCCTTGTTACCTGCCTGTTAACGGCAATCAGATTTCTTTTCAGTTTGCCTACCTTCCCTCTACAATCTTATTCCACAGGAGAAACCACATTTCCCACTGCAGAAAGGAGGGGGCCCTGGGCTGAGGAAACCAGAGGTATTCCATCCTTCCTTGTGATTCTGTCATCCTTATTATCATGTCTATATGCTTTGCCTGGCTACCATCAGTTTCTGTCCAACAACAGCTGGCCTCAGCATGAGAAGGGCTTTGAGAATCTTACATATATACATTTATAACTGGGAGTATCTACCATAGTGCTCTGTACAAATAGAAAAAGATCTGGAAGGAAATACATCAAGGTATTAATGATAACTGTTTTTAGCTGATGTAACTGTGTATGATTTCTCTTCCTTCTATTTTTCTATGTTTTCCAAATGATCTATAATAAGCTCATATTACTTTTTATAATGAAAGTACTTAAAAATAAAGACATTATTTTTGAGCCTAGGTACGTACTGTCCCTGTACTTTGAAGGCTCCTTGGTTCTTGCTCTCAAAGAGATTCTATGGAAAAATGAATTTTTTAAAAAATGACTAATCTACAAAGACCTCTGAGGTGAGAGAAAACTATTTAATCCTAAATGAGTAGTGATGGATTCCAGAAGAGGAAATCTGGACACAAATATCTACTTGCATAGAATAAACAGGTTTCAGTTTCACCAAAATCAAATATGTAAATTTGACAGACAATGCAACTCTCTCAAGAGAGAGCTATTTTCCTCTGGAAAAACAACTTCTACTTAATATCTTTAGAATGCAATATGTCAATTTCTGAAAAGAAAAGAAATATTTGTGTTTTTAGTTTCCAAGCTCTCTTAACTCAGGAATATTCTGGGGTCCTTTACCCAGGGCTACTCCAAATGCAGCAGGAAATTCACCCCGTTCCTGGACAGCACTGGAAATGACCTCTCTATCTGGCCATCTAATTAAGGGGCTGTTATCATTACAGCACTCATTCAGTACTTTCTTGAAAACATATCATAAAATAAGTAGCCTTCCACTGGCCACAACTAATCACCAAGAAACCAATCATATCGGAACCCTTTTTAAAGCCTTAAATCTTTGACTTTAGACATGTTTATTAAAAGTTTTACATCATATTCAATCATAAACTTACTATGTATTTTATGAAAATGAATAATGGGAAGAAAAACCAGGGCAGCTTTGTTAATACAAGAATAATAGCAAGCCACCTATCACATGCGATAGACCTTCCATGCAATGTCTTATTTAATCCTCCTACCAATCCTATAATAGACTTCTATTAATTTACAGACAGCCAACTTGTCTAGGGTCTCAAAGCACAGCTCCCCACTCAGATCTTCTTGACTCCAAAGACCATGCTTCTCATATGTCAAACTGCTTCCCTCTGAATAAAAGAGTGGGAGTCAATTGTCATATGGTTTCACTTATTTTGTGGAACATAAGGAATAGCATGGAGGACATTAGAGAAAGAAGGGAAAAATGAAGTGGGGGAAATCTCAGGAGGAGATGAACCATGAGAGACTATGGACTCCAAGAAACAAACTGAGGGTTTTAGAGGGGAGGCGGGATGAGGGTTTTAGAGGGGAGGTGGGATGGGAGAAGGGGTTAGCCCAGTGATGGGTATTAAGGAGGGCACGAATTGCATGGAGCACTGGGTGTTATATGCAAACAATGAATCGTGGAACACTACATCAAAAACTAATGATGTGGAGCACCTGGGTGGCTCAGTTGTTAAGCGTCTGCCCCATGTCGGGCTCCCTGCTCTGTGGGAAGCCTGCTTCTCCCTCTTCCACTCCCCCCTGCTTGTGTTCCATCTCTCGCTGTCTTTCTCTGTCAAATAAATAAGTAAATAATTAAAAAAAAAAAAACTAATGATGTATTGTATGGTGACTTATATAACATTAAAAAAAAAAAAGAGTGGGAGTTTGGGTCTTCTTAAAACTAAAACATAAAGCAAACATGAAGACAGAAAAGCCACCAGAATATTCTTTTCCTTTTCCTTTTCCTTGCTCTGCCCGTGAGCACGCGGGCAGAGCATGGCAGAAAGAACGACAAGATGGTCAGAATGTGCAGGCCACAGGGTCTTCAGATGCAAGATCTTATTGATGTATAAGAACAGGAGTTTGATCAAAATGTGGTGAATAAAAGAACAGAAAGGGATGATCAGTTGTAAGGAAAGCTTCAGAATAGCTAAGTGGTCTCCCTTGGCTAACTATTAGAGAAAAGAAGCATTTGACCTGCTCCTGCCATACCATGGTTCTATGAGAACGCTCATGTTTTAGAAAGAACTTCACGCACTGGAGATGGTGCCTTAACTTATCCTTTTGTGAAAAGCTGAGTCAAAGGCACCTTGGTGGCTCAGTGAGTTAAGTGTCTGCCTTTGGCTCAGGTTATGATCACGGGGTCCTGGGATCGAGTACCACATTGGGCTCCCTGCTCTGTGGGGAGCTTGCTTCTCTCTCTCCCTCTGCCCCTCCCCCGCTGCTTGTGTGTGCTCTCTCTCTCTCTCTCTCAGGCTCTCTCAAATAAATCTTAAAGAAGAGTCCAAAAAAAAAAAAAAAAAAGGTTTAGTAATTTACAAGGCATTCCACCTACCCAATATACTGAGTGAAACTTTGCTCAATTCTGTTTTCCTCAGCAAAACCCCACACAAGCACCAAGATGAAATGTGCACCTTTTGCCCAAAAATGACAACTCAAAGAATAGGATTACCATGGAAGTATACTCTAATCTCCGAAAAACTCGTGTGTGAATCAATAAAAGGCCTATGCCTAGCAAAAGCAAACGGCTGCAGGACAGAGAATGCAGTGGGGACACCAGAGAATGCTTTTCATTCATGAATCACTTTGCTGTCGGTGCCACAAAAGTCCCACTTCACAGAAGAGAGAGTCACAGGAATTCCATCGGGCACATCTTAACAGCGTCTCTGTGGCCAAACATGAGCGCTCATGGCTACATCATTCCCTGGGCTCCCTCCGTACTTCGAGGCAATCAACCGGGCTTTCCAGGGCATAGGAGCACCCAGATTGCTTTTCAGGGACAGTTGTCAGGTTGGGAGGGGAGTCGCAGGTAAGTGGAATGAATAAGTTTTCCAGGACAAACTCATGACGCTAGAAAGGAAAGACATCACAGCTCAACAGTTTCAAGCTGTGTTTCTGTTTTTAAATTTAAAAATCAGGGGAAATGGGGATGCCTGTGTGGCTCAGTCGGTTAAGCTGCTGTCTTCAGCTCAGGCTATGATCCCAAGGTCCTGGGATCGAGTCCTGCATCTAGCTCCTTGCTCAGCGGGGAGCCTGCTTCTCTCTCTGCCTCTGCTGGTCTGCCTGCTTGTGTTCTCCCTCACCCCCTCTGACAAATAAATAAATTAAAATCTTAAAAAAAAAATCATGGGAAAAGAACACATTAAAAATTGCACAAAATTTTGAAGGTCATCTTAACCAACTCTGCAGTCCATTTCAGCTAAAAAATCTCTAAACCACTCTATCAGATATGGGGTCCCCAGCTTATCCACAAGTCTAGTCCACTGTTGGATTCCTTTGGTTATTACAATGAGCTTCTTCATACTGACTTGATTTCTGTCTGCCCCTAACTCCCAGGCATTAATACTAGATTTATACCTGCAGCTAACAAGAGTTCACTTATTCTTTGATATGACAGTGCCTCAAAACAACCGGATGCCAGTCTCAACACAAAGGTTTGCAAGAGCAACAATAGTGTGTGTGCGTGTGTGTGTGTGCACGCGCGTGCATGTGTTTTGCCATAGGTTTGGTTTGGGAGTATCATAATGGGCAGAAAATAATAGTTTTGAAAGACAAAGAGGAAAAGAACCACTCTGTGACTGCCTTCCTTCTTTGCAAAAGTTAGTATCTAGTTAACCTGTATTTATCTAGAACACACCTTGCATCTTTAAAATGCTTTCTCGTAACATCCAAAGTAGGAAAGAAGTCAGAGCACACACAGCAAAGGAGGAAATACGTGTCTCTGAGGTCACCCTGACAAGAATGATCAAAATGGGGGAAAGAAAACCTTCAGACTGGCTTCTAATCACACTTAGGACTGGAAGAGATAACATGCCAGTCACTGGTTTCAGTTTAAAGCCCACAGAAGCCCAACCAGTTTTCTCTCCTGTCAACACAGTGAAATTGGGCTGATCTCAAGTCTTGCTAGCTACCAAGGTAGTATCCACAGCTTTTCTTCCTAATAATGGCTGATCCCGAACTTTGAAAGTCTCAGCAAGAAACTGTGCATCTACTAGGATAAGATTCCATGTGTTAACAAAAAGACTGCTTTCAAATGAATACAAAATCGTGAAAAATAAAACACTTTCTCCCATGAAAGTCTTAAATATATTATGAAATTGGAGCCTAAAAAATCCTAAAAAATAAAGAGTAAAAACTTGTTGTAGGATGTTCATTGAATATTGTAAAACTGTGAATTGATATAAAATATTGAGACCCATGTCACCAGTGAAACAAACACTGGACCACTGAACTTCTCAGTTCATTTGCCAAACCTCTTGGTCCCGCCTTTTCTAATAACCAAGGGTTTGAGCTGCGCCTGTCTCACAACTTCTTGACCTTCAACTTCCACATTTTTAGAATGAAGAATCCAGTGGACAGATCTCCTGGGGCTGTACATTTGCGTGATTATAAAATTTTCTGTATTTTGATATCTTCACCACCATACCTATGAGAAAGCCTCGTCTCTGAGAGCTAGCTTTTCAGAAAATCTGTTAAATGAACTTACAGAGAAACTGAAATGCTGCATTACATTTAGGACAAGCCTTCTGAAAAGTCTTAGAAAACTTGGCATAACAGTAAGAGTACAAAAAAAAAAAAATAGAAGAGTATAGACTCGGAGTTGAAGACTAGCTAGGTTCCAATCTAGCTCTCTGACTTCTGTACTGGCAGCATGACCCGGAGTAAATGGGTTCAGCTCCTGTGTTCCAGTTTCCTCAACTGTCGAACAGGGATAATAATGGTGTGACTTCATGGGGTAGCCACTAAGGACATAACTGAACCGACAGCAAAATCAATTTATGATTGATTGGCAATAGGCTTGAAACCAATCAATGTGTCCCAGCACTAAGCAAAATGTGTTTGAGCTAGTAAATACCACCTCAGTGCCTAGGATAGTGGGTACGGAGTAAACAGCTGCTGAGTGAATGAATGAGCAGACTCTGAGAGAAAACAGCTCTACCTAAATGTTTTCAGTATCATCCAGTATACGCCAGAGGAATGCCAACCACAGAATCATGGGCTGCAGCTGTCCACAACTCACCACTCCTGGTAGGTAAGAACAGCAGCTGAGTTTGTTCTACTAAAGGAAAGGTCAACATCCATTCTCCACATAGCTTTACTACCTTCAGTAACCGCATCGACCCAAGGGGGCCCTGAGGTGGACTAAGGCAGACACAGTACAGTCAAATATCCACAACTAGAAATTAAATAAAATATTAGTGCTTTTTTGCTTCTTTGTCTTTACAAGAAATGAAGATAGACACAAATAAAAGGAAAGTCACTTAACACAACACCTAGGATTACACTGTGAAGGCACTCTTTTTAAAAAGATGGTCCTCCTGCTACGTCTTCTATCAGGTACGATCCTCTAGGGTCCTTTCCACACATGCTCCAAATCCAAACTGATGTGCGGGTCAGACCAACTATGGAAAGTTCTGTGGCCCAGGACAACCTCCGAAGATCTCAGTATGAATCAGCTCAAGCCTGAATAACTTGCAGCCCATCAGCTAACCAGCTTCAGTTCACTAATCACAACTTAAATTTCATCCTGATCCTTTGAGCCTATGCCTAAGATAAAAATGTAAATAGATAAAATAAGGAACAGAGAAGTAGTTAAAATAGATAAAATGTAAGTAGATAAAAAAAAAAAAAAACCTCATCAGAGGTTCTTCTAAACTAGGTCCACTTTGAGAGGACCGTAGGAAAAGTGGAGGTCACTTTGATGAGAACAGTTTGAAGAAAGGTCCCTGTTCCAGTTCAACATTTCTTAAATTGCTGGGTAGCCAGTGGGGTGGCGTGGTGGGGGGGCGGAATTTATGGAAGGGGTAGTCACAGGAACATCTGTAAAGAAATAACTTCTTCTTTGGTCAAAAATGAGTAGTCACAGGCCACAGCAAATACACACACCTTAAACTCTACCCTGAGACATGGGGTCAAACAGCACCATTGGATCCTGGCAACTAGCCACGATCCTGGAGACGTACAGATTTCCCTAAATGTATCCTCACCGCTTTATGGCCTGGCTCCTCCTGAGGTAGATTACTCTCATTTTTACCCCCTTTCAGTCCACACAATAGTTATTGGGCATCCACCATTACCAAGAGCTGTCTCATGCACTAAGAAAACAGGTCCAGCGTGGAAGACTGACTCTCATACGTTTAACAGCAAATGCAAAGCAGACTCCACTGCCATAAGGCAACATAAGCCCTGTGCAATGAGTCAAAGGAAAAGGAAGAAGGCCAGTCATGGCAGGTGGGGCAGAAGAAGAAACATGTATTCCTTATTCCACAAGAGGCTGGCAGCAGCTTGAAGCCTGAGCAGGAAGAACTGAGCACCCCAGTCATAGAACAGGCATAGAAAAAGGGAGGGGGACAAGTCAGGTACAAAAGATCTATCTCTTTTGTAAATAAGGGACCATGGTGAGTGGTCTCTTCTAACTCCATGCTTTAATTCTGCGTGTCCTCTTGAGCATTTGAAGTGTTATTAGCATTTATACTCTATCCCCATTAATAATATTACTGATAGGTTCAAAGTATTCCTGAACTCATTCCAATATAATTCTCTGCCTCCAACATCTTTTCTACCCCTTGACTCCTTCATTTAGATGGGGCAGGCTTTAAAACGTGGCTCATGGAGAAAAGTGAAACCATAGGCTCCAATGGTTCTCAGAATAAAAAACACATTTTGAAATAAAATAAAGGTTAAGCTCTCATACCAACAGACCTTGCTAGATCAGCAAAAATGTAGGTGTTACAGGAAATCGCTATATTGTGTAATCCCCATTTCACTCTCCACAAAATTGCACTATAATTCAAAATAAGTGAAGCAACAATTGGATGGATGACCAGTTTTTGTTGTTTACATAGTTTAATGCACAAATGTGCAGTTTCCATGACTTTCAGAATGACGTGATTTACATGAGGCTTTAACAATAAATAAACTTGAAGTGCTGTATATAGTTAGCATATGGTGGAATTTTTAAGCAAAACTTTTTCTTTCATTCCCTGCAAGACATTTAAAATATTCTCCCCTATTGGGTTTTTTTTTTTTTTGGTCTTTAATTCACACCCTGTTAATTCTCCTGTGTGAATATAAAATTTTTGTTTTATAAATAAAATTTAAGGGTGGAAAACAAAACAAATGTTCTTTAACGCATTAATGCCAAAATAAGCACTAACAACTGCACATAGACTTTCTAGATATTTGTAATTTGGCCATTCTAAAAGTTAGTCATGGATACCACAAATACTTATATTATTATGTAATAATTTATGGCATTTCCATAGACCTGTTATATATCATCCTTCTTTAACCACCTGGCATGCCAAAATACCTAGAAATGATGAACAGAGTTACTTGCACTAAATCCCTAAAACACACCTTCTGAGGAATAGACAAATAAATCCTATTCTATTGTCAATTTTTTAAAAAAGTCCTTCTCCCTATGAATATTAAATACACACGATCTTACAGAGTCTTACTGAACATATTTGGACCAAGGTTAAGGTCATGTCTTTATTGCATCCTCCTCCTTCCCTCAATTTCACCAGAGTGCTCTCCTTCCTTTTCACCTATGTGAATTTTATTTAAGAGAATCTTGATCAAGTTTATGACCACCGTTACTAGAGGGAGATAAACACTTTACGTCCCTCTTACCAGAAACAGAAGGTATGGCATGAAGTCCAATTCTCGATCTAAAGGCATCACTGACACCTATCCTGGAATTTCAGGACAGATAATGAGTTTCCAATGCTAAGTCAGGTGTGACCTATCACATGTCCAAGATGGAAGTCAAGCAAGGACTATAGTTTGATGTTCACTGACAAACTCAAGAACATGCTGGCATCTGATTAAAAAAAAAAGGATTATTGGATTATCTTGCTATGATAGTTGTTGACTAAAATCACCATTAAGGAACACCAATATCCAAGTATTTTACTGAATACTCTTAATTCAGAAATTGCCACTGGAGCCACTTGACAGTTTCTGCTTTGCGCTACATTTCTATTCCCACCTGCTACAAATCTTTTACCTGAAATACTTTGTGTGGAAACTCATTAAAATGCTCTTGTGAAAGGAGAGCGCAACACTACCGCCTTCCCTTTGTCTAATGGCACAGGACCTCTCTCATAAATTCATTCTAATTAAATTACGCTTCTCAAGGTGCTCCCTCTCATGCAATCCTTATGTAATTGTACCTAATATTTTCTCCACAATTGATGTTACATTAAACAGGCTTTTACTACCTGCTATCCTCATAATGGCCCTCACTCTCTTTTCTTTACTCTCTTTTTTTCTTTTTAAATTTTTTTTTACCTCAAAGGAGACAGGAATTTGACATGACAAATTCTATTTTAAGAGTTTGCCTTGAGCTTTCATCAAATTCTTTATAATTTTCTTAATGATACATAATACACACAAAGGCTCATACAAATATATCTCTTTGAACACCAGAGAGAGAGCATTACATTTTAAAGCTCAATGAAAGAAAGAAAACAGGTCAGTTAATGGGTCATTAGCCAGTTTTATCTGAAGGCAGTGATGCTATAGTTGGGACGATGTGTGGATGAAAATGAGAATTATGAACCTTACAAAAATTATCAGCAATCATTGTCTTTTCCATAGATGTAGTAAAGGATATTGATTCCTTCAGCTATCAGGACGTACTTCCCTCCATAGGATACTTGGGGTTAAAAAAAAGAAAAAAAGCCAAATCTGAGAACGTATGTGAAATCTTAATAGTATATCTTGGCTTATGTTGCAGACTGTCATCAGAACTTTCTATTTTTAAATAAAACATAGAGGGAGTAGTTGTTTTCCCCTTCACACTCTGCTGTGTTTCAGCAACCCTGTGGAATACATAGGAGTTTTACAAGAAATGAATAGTTTGTGGTTGAAAAAATTATAGATGATAGGATTTCATAACTTTGCTAAGTATGTAAATAACTTGAGAGCCATAGGAAAAACTACTTAAATGCGTCCTGCCACCTTCTACTACTGTTACTATCATTGTTAGAAATATCACTATTAGCATTACGTAGATTATCAGCATTTCCCGGCTTTTGTTCTTTTTTTTTTTTTTTGGTTTATGTGTTCAGCTTTTCTTCATATCTGTTTTTGTTACGACTGGGAGATGAGTATACTTTTAATTACATGGTTGTGTCCAGTGTACAGAATATGTGAGTACTCTACAGCACTTGTTAAAACATAAGTAAGTGGAGAGGTCTTGTCTACCCAACATGACTGGTAGCTTTTCAAGGTTTGTGACAGTATTTTTTATTTTGGAGATTCCATATACTATTTCACAACAGAAGTGCCATCTACATGTGCTGAGTGGCAGATGGAATTAAGAGGGTAACTTGTTTTATTTAGTCAGATGCTTTCAAAAACTTTATGTCTTAATATTAGAATTTTTGATAGACTAGATTGATTAATCTTCCTGAAAAATCACTTCTCTTTCTCCGTCAGGTGTTAAATGTGACAATGAGTTGTAGCCAACATTTGTTGAGCACCTCCAATGTTCCAGGAGCAACATTCTAAAGTGTCTGACGTGGATTAACTCCTCCTGTTATCCCTCTTGCACAGATGAAGGAATTCAGGCACAGAGAGGTCAAGTGGCTTGCACAAGATTGTAATGCTACTAAAATGGTAAGGTGAAATGGCCATAGTCGTCAAACTGTAGGAAGAACCAGGATGCCCTTCCACGTACGAATGGATAAGGAAGATGTGGTCCATATACACAGTGGAGTATTATGCCTCCATCAGAAAGGATGAATACCCAACTTTTGTATCAACATGGACAGGACTGGAAGAGATTATGCTGAGTGAAATAAGTCAAGCAGAGAGAATCAAGTATCATATGGTTTCACTTACTTGTGGAGCATAAGGAATAACATGGAAGACATGGGGAGATGAAGAGGAGAAGTAAGTTGGGGGAAATCGGAGGGGGAGACAAACCATGAGAGACTGTGGACTCTGAGAAACAAACTGAGGGTTTTGGAGGGGAGGGGTATGGGAGGTTGGGTGAGCCTGGTGGTGGGTATTAAGGAGGGCACATATTGCATGGAGCACTGGGTGTGGTGCATAAACAATGAATCTTGGAACACTGAAAAAAATAAAATTAAATTAAAAAAAAATGGGAAGCTGGGATCTGAACCAGCAATCAGGCTCCAGAGTCCATATTAATGACCACACTCCCTCCTTAGGTAGTCACCATCCTTGTAGGTGGTAGAAAGAAGACCTCTTAATGCTTGTTTCTATAGATGAATGCCCTCACCATTAACCACCAGTTAGAAAGTAAATAAATAAATTCTATGACATGTATTTGATCAGCTACATACACTTGAACAGTCACATCTTTGGTAATAGTGTCCTCCTAGAGCTTAATGTTGGAGTTCATCAGAGATTTAAAATATACCACAGGTGCATTTCCCCATGAGACAGCATGATCCCAACCTGGCTATAGATGAAAATACCCCGGGCACATCGTCATTGCAAATGGTGGCTACAATTCGATGTGAAACGAATCACATAATTCCAGCTCAAATTCTCCAGCGTATCAGCAGAATTTACCAAGACTACACACAAATGCTTACACTTGGAGGTACACCTCACACAGAGGAAAGCTGGATTAGAAAAAGCCAGAGAAAAATTTCCACCTTCTTCCCAGGGAGGAAGCAGTAGAATTTGCATGGTTCAATTCCTGAAGTCCCACAGGTCCGGGTTCAAACGTCATTGCTGCAGCATACTAAGTGTGTTAACTTGGAAAAGCTTCCTAAGCAAGCCACAGTAATTCGTCACTGCAGTGAGGATGCTAGTGGTTGGGATACAGGAAGGATGGTGTGATAATTAAATGAGGTGACACAGGCCTGCTGATTTGCATTTCCCTTAGCATGTTGTAAATGATCAATAAATAGTAGCTATTCGTAGATGATGTCTCCAACCAGTAGTATGTTTTTCTGTTCTCAAGAGAGGGACCTACTTCCATAGAATCTTGCTGTTACTGTTTTCCAGTTGAATTTAATCTAATCCTTTCTTAAAATTTCCAACGTAAACAGACAAAGAGCCACATGTATATGGCACAGAGGGAGGACAGCACAAAAGAAATACATGCGTTCACTACCACCACCTCACACTGTCCGGTCCAAAGGGATAAATATTTAACACAAGGAACAAGCTTCACTTAACAATTTTTATACTATGTTTAAGGGATAGTAATATTCACTTTTTTTTTCAATTGAGAAAAGAAAGGTATAGACTGAAGCGTAATCTGCACAAAAGCCCCCGGTAAAACAGAGACCACATTTCTGGTCTTTAGAATTCTTGTAGAGGCCACCAGCCATGTTTTTTCACACCCCTCCTTGTCTCTTAAAATAGGGACTCTCCTCACTTCAAAAATGGGAGGTGAGCGAATGACAGAATGATGGGTTTTTCGTGGGGACAGGCCATTCCCCAACCCATGCCTCAGGATGGCGAACAGAATACCCCCGAGTGATGAAGGAGGGGGGCAGGCTGGGGTGGTGAGGTCTCTGCCTTTTAAGCAAGCCAGCCAGCAAACACAAATGCATACAATTTGAAATTTTAATTAGGGTGCCATGTGCTGGTGACATATGGCGACACACTGACAGCTGGGCGTCCAGGTTCAGGAACAGACCTGGGTTCTGAAGTCACAGTTGGCAGAAGCAAAGTTCTCCGCTTGTGCGCTAGGTGCTAGCATGCCTGGAAAGTGCTCTGCCAACATCACCCCCTGTGCAGCACTGCCTTCCACCGCTTGTAGACGCTGCCTGCCAGGGGCCGCTGCTGCAATTCAGAGAGTGGAGAGCAAATAGAAAGAAAGGAAAAGATTAAAAACCCCACACCCCATTTGCAGTTTCAAGCCAGAAAATATCCCAAATAGCAGAGCCATTGGTTGTGTGTGTGTGTGTGTGTGTGTGCGCGTGTGCACACGCACACGCACACACACACGCACACACGCACGCTTGACTTCTAAGTTTCAGAGACCCTGGGATCTTCACACTAAATCACCCTTGCAGGAGGGGCTCTGTGTGTTTCTGGGATAGGACACATCAGGGCAAGGCGATTAAGAAGCGTGTTACCTGCTCCAAAGTCCATAGCATTAAGCCCTTATATAAAACCAAATATGATTTAAAAGTCACATTTACATAGATTAGAAGATGAATCATGTTAGCGAAGTATCAAAATGGAATAAAAACATTCTAAGACAACTTGTTAAGCATTAAAGGTCAAGTTGGCTAACTTTTTTCTGCTACCATGATTTTTTTCCATGATGAATTAAATGCTGGTCAGTTTGACCTTTGAAGCTGAACAAGTCATCTGAAAATGTCTTAAAATGGGTTAATGAATTGCCTTGTGGCTGCTGCTTCTGCTTTTCCTTATCCCACTGTGCCTATGTAGTCCACCTAACATGGGAATAGTCCAAGTTGGCGATTTCTAAGCAAGTCCAGGACCCACAAGAAAGAGCGTTACAAGAGGGTTTCCCTGCCAATCCATGTAATATTAAGAGAATCATTCTTTAGATCCTTCTTTACCTACCAACTCTTTCTGAGCTATAAATCTCTGACTCTAAAGAACCAGAGTGAGTAAATGTACATGCCAAACTGCACCATCTACAACTCTGTGGGAAGTCTGAGTTTCTAGCCAATAAGCAACGAAATTCTTCTGGGATATTACAAATACGAGGGCCAAATCCTTATCTCTTCCTTGCGTTCCAAATACTGCTATCAAATCAGCCAAATGAACTTAAGGCAGAACTATCATTGAAGTGGAAATTCAAAATTCCTCAATTTGATTAAAAGCCAACAATTTGCTGTTTCCTCCTATTCAATTAAACACAAACACGCGCGTACCTGCTTTCAAGTTGTTTAAACAGTGTTGACGTATAGATTTCACTTTATTTTTTTACTACGGCTATTGTTATTATTAGGCAGAGCAACTGATTTACATCACATTTTATTCACATTTTATTTCTACTTCGACTTAATTTTTGGAAAGCAACAAAACAAGCAGAAGATTAACATCAGCCGTTTCAGGCTTCAGACAACACTGCTGCAAGCTGGAAAATACAGATACTAGAATTTACACCCTCTAGTCGTAAGCCCATTAACTAGTTTGGACAGCAAATATGCATTCTGCATACAGTTACCCTTAAAAAAATAGAGCTTGCTGATAAAACAAACAAACAAAAAATACTGTAGCCTCCTGTATATTAGCATGAGCTCTGTG